ACAAACCCAGTAGGCTGACTGAAAAGGAACTTGCTGAGGCTGCAAACAACTGGGCTGCTGGAAACCTAGGGAAGGCAATTGAAAGCAACTTACCTGAAATTTCTGAGTACGAGGCGGGACCCACGGCGCCATCGCTCATTGACCAGCCCGAAGGACCTGAGTCAAACGCAACAGATGGCACAGAATTATTCGAAGACAGTCAGCTCGCCAGTTGCTCTAAAGCAGCAGCATCAAAAACCAAAGAGATTGAACAGGTTTATGGACAAGACTGTGAAATTTTCAGGATGGTGGCAAAAATGCTGATCGAAAAAGAGCCTTCATTAGAAAAAGTTTCTCATACAATCCTTCATTATACAGTTCGCACTGAGACAGAATTTACGTGAAATAGGTGAGCGCTGTGTTGAAGAAACCACGAATTTCACTGCGAGGTATGACACCTCTAGTCAAGACTTTGGAGAGCGTTTTTAGACGACTGCTTGCTCAGGCAAAAAAATGTTTCTAGATTTTGTTTTTCCTAGATTGTGTAAATCCTTAATATATGGAATTTTTGTGATGAAGGGAAATACTTTATGATAGTTGACCTCATTTCCAATATCGAACAAACATCTAAAATAGTCTAAGAGAAAAATAAAAAATAAAAACACATACAGAGCATTTCCAAAACAAAACGAAAAAAGCCACATACTAAGTCAAAAACAAAATATCAACAAATTCTCAAGAATTTATATCATTCAGAATATGTTCATTGAGTAAAATTAGAAATCAACTACCAAAAAAATCAAGAAAAAGTCCATGTACCTAGATATTCAAAAATACATTTCTAGGGGCTGGCTGAGTGGTGTAGTGGTTAAATTCGTGCGCTCCACTTCAGCAGCCCAGGGTTCGCCCGTTCGGATCCCAGGTGCAAATCTATGCACCGTTTATCAAGCCACGCTGTGGCAGGCATTGCACATATAAAATAGAGGAAGATGGGTACGGATGTTAGCTCAGAGCCAATCTTCCTCGGCAAAAAGAGGAGGATTGGTGGTGGATGTTAGCTCAGGGCTAACCTTCCTCAAAAAAAAAATTCTAAATAATTTGCGGGTAAAGGAAATTGAAATTGCATTTTTTGGGGGAACTGAATGACAATTGAAGCACCACATATCAAACCTGGAATATACAGAATAACAAAATAAGTACTAATATATAAAAAAAGAATGAATCAATAATTATAGCAGAAATTAATGAAATAAAATAACCCCCCACTCCATAAAAATAAGTAGAAGAGATTATCAGTAAAACAAAGAGCTGGGTTTTTTAAAAAAAAAACAATAAAACTATAAAATGTTTGGCAAGTTTGATCCAGAAAAATAAGAGAAGGAACAAATAAATAGGAAAGCCAAAGGAAATATAACTTCAGATACAAAGGAGTCATAAGAAATAATATATATAAAGTTATGACAACGGATCTGAAATCCTAGATAGAAAAAGATATGTTCTAGGCAACCATAAATTACAAAAGTTTATTCCAGGCGAAAGAGATACATCGGAATAAATGAATGTCCACAGAAGAAACTGAAATTGTAGTCAAAGACCTACCAAAAAAGACACCAAGCATGGATGTTCTTAGAGGCAAGTTGTACCAAATGTTCAAAGAACAGATGACTCCGATATTTCACAAACCATTCTACACAGCAGAAAAAGATGGTCCCCCCAAATCATTGAATAGGGCTAGCCTTTCCCTAATGCCCAAACTGGGCTAGGATAGCACCAGAAAGAAAGCCACGGGCCAATTCCACTTATGAAAACAAATGCAAAACAACCCCAAGGAAAACATTGTTAAATCAAATCCAGCGATAGTGAAAGGGAGGAGGATGGCTCAGTATTCACAGAGTAAGGCAGAAAAGCCATCTGATCACATCAATAAACACATAAAACGCGTTTGAGAAAATTCAACACTTGTTTTAAAAAAAACCTCTTAGCAAATTAGGAATAGAATTTGATAAAGGGATTTCTACTAGAAATCTACTGAAAACATCGTACTTAATGGTGAAAGCTTAGGGTCGTTCCTTTAAAAGTCTAGAACAAGACAAGGATTGTCCATTATCACCGCTATCATTCAACATTGTATTGGAAGACTCTTAGCCAAAGGGGGAGGGGGTGAGAAATGAGTTATAAAGATTGGAAAGACTAAACTGTCATTTTTTTGCCAGCAACAGGGTCATCTAACTGGAAAAGTATGGAGAATTAGCTATCATGCTATTCTAGAACAAGTAAGAGTGAATTCAGCAAGGTAGCTAGATCCAAGACCAGCATTACAAACACAACAGGAGTAACTGATTAGAAGAAAATAACAAAATCCTAGCCATAAATAAGCAAAAACAGTAAAGTTCCAGTGAGCAAACCAAAGAAAGCAGGTACAAGACATCCCAGGAGGAAATTATACCTATGTCCAAGGATGCAAGACTCAGTATTACAAAGCCATAAAGTTTCCCCAAATTAATAACTTACTCACTACAATCCCAATCAAAATTCAAAAGATTTTTTTATGGAATTGACAAGTTCCACCCCACTCCCCACTCCCATTTGTTTAGAATCAAACCAGCTCCGTTTCCTTACCCAAGTGTAGGCTTCTGCTGGGAGACCCCCTTTGCCGCTGTCCACCGGCACCTTTGACTTAAATCACCCATAAGCAATTAGTAAACAGAGCAATGGTGTCAGCGTAACACAAGCATGTTGGTGAACACGCAATTTTCTCCAGGAAGTTAATGTTTTGAAGCAATCAGGGGCAAGCTTTCTCACAGTTAAAGGGAAAGCCTTAGTAGTAAAAGAAGATCTTAAGGGGAAAAGCTGAAGATCTACAGAAGCGTCTTCCTTTAGATCCACAGTGGCTGGTTTCGCGGCTTCAAAGACCACGACACTTGCTACCGCATTACGGTATGAGGCAAAGCCGTGAATGCAGAGGAGGAAACTGCAAAGACATTTTCCCACATTAAAAGAACAGGTTAATGAAGAAGACTGCCCCTTGGGTCAGATTTTTAATTTTGATGAAAACGGTCTCCATTCAAAGTTATTAGCTCCAGACCGGCATCTTGAAGGAGGAAGCACAAGTCCCAGCCTTTAAGACGACAAAGAAGTCACTGAAGACTTGCTGAGCGCAATGCCCGGGCACATTTAACCGTGTTAGTATTTCTATTAGAATCGTTATTGGTTTTGTAATGCTCTGATTTTGCCCACATTTAGAGCAATCTGTCCCTAATTCTATTTTTCCCATAAAGGCTTGTTATTTTTAGCTCACTGTTTTAGAGAACTCTCGTTTTTTGTTTTCAGGAACGCATATATCAGGTTATAGCATAAACGCCCATCCTCACGATGAAGCGGGGCCTCTCTCTTCCGCCAAGCGGTCTTCGTAGCTCCTGAGTTTCCCTGAGGGGCAGCCAGGAGACCAGGCACCCACCTCCCCGCGGAGTGGAACAACTTCCCAGGAGCCTGTGTGGCAGTTCTCTGGAGTTTGGGCCGCCCGAGCCCATCACAGCTCCCCTCTTTTCTGCTCCTTGCAGACTCCCAGACCACACAGGAGAGGCCAAGCAAAAAGACCCAGAATTTTGCTGCTTACAAGCCTCCGGATCTTGAGCAAGTCACCAAACCTCCACAGGACTCAGTTTCCTCATTCTTTAAATGGGGAGGCAGTGGTTTAAAAAATCAGGGTTGTTGTTTTTGTTAATTTAAAAATGTGTTTTTGGGGGGCCGGCCCAGTAGCCAAGTAGTTAAGTTCCTGCGCTCTGCTTCAGTGGGCCTGGGTTTCCCAGGTTCGGATCCTGGGCACCGACCTAGCACACCCCTCTTCAGGCCACGCAGAGGCAGGGTCCCACATAGCACAACCAGAAGGACCTACAACTAGAATATACAACTATGTACTGGGGGGCTTCGGGGAGGAGAAGAAGAAAAGAAGACTGGCAACAGATGTTAGCTCAGGTGCCAATCTTTTAAAAAAAAAATCTGTCCTTGATTCTTGCTTTGCATTTATAATTCGACCTTGGACAGTGACTTGACTTCTCTGTGCAGTCATCTGTAAAATGGGGGCTTTGTGAGGATTCAATGATTCCATGTGTGCAAAGCGCTTAGCACACGACGTACATTAAACTCCAGTAAATTGAAGTTCCTATTATGGGGGGAGGTGGCAGATTCTTGAGGGTACCATGGGCTGGTGGGGAAAGCAGACGAGGCTGTGATTTCCCCAGGGACAGGAAACACATCCTCCCAGCCCCGTCCTCCCGGCAGAGGCCTCGCCATCAGCCCAAGCCCCTAGCTTGCTGGAGCCACCAGCCGGCTCCCCGAAGCCCGCAGTTTGGGAACTGCCTCCCGCAGCGCTGGTCCGAGAGCGGACTACATTTCCCGGCGTGCACCTCAGGTCCGGACCCCGAGAGACCGGCCCGCCGCGGAGACCTCGTCCGGCCGCATTAGATGCTCGGGGCAGTAACCATCGTTCTCGCAGTTCCTACTCCTCGCTTTGTGAAACGCGTCCCTTACGGTCAAGCCCACCTTGGGCCGCAGCCCCCACAGGGTCTGCGAGGGACGCTTGGCCCCCTCCTACCCTCCTCCAGGATCCTGCCCACCGGACCCCAGGGAGGGTCCGAGGCCAGTCTTATCACCCCTGGAGGACTCCTTCGGCCCTGCGGGGTCCCACTGTGGCCCGAGGCTGGCAGCGGGGCTCTGGGGGCTGGGAGACTGGGGACCGGCCTCAAGGCCTCACAGCCGGAGACTACAACTCCCAGGCGGCACCGCGGCGGCGGCGGCGAGCACGTCACTCAGGCATCGCCGGCGGCCCCGGGAAGCGGTGCGGGCGGGGGCAGGGGCTGGGGCCGACCGGGAGGCCGGTGCTGAAGATGGGGGTCGCCCGGCCGCCCCGCGCGTGAGGAGGCCGAGGGGTGCGCCACCCCGTCCTGGGGCGGGCGCCCCCCCGACCCCCCCACCCCCCCCCCCCCCCGCGGTCGC